CGTGTACGAGTGGAGTCGCGGAGAGAAAGAGAGACAGAGAGAAAAAGAGCGGCTATTCGCTCGATATTAAAAGTCTGACCTCTCTGACCCGCGGCGGCCGCGTTCGGTAACTACTCTCTAATTATTCCGAGGAGCGAAGAGTTTTTTCTGCGGCCGCGTAAACCCGAGCTTTGTCCTAGCCGAGCCATTCAGCGGTGTAATCGATATTTCGCGCGCCTCGCAAATAATCACGACACGGCGTGGCTATTGCTCCTACCGGACTCGTAAAAACTCTATTTCGCAGGCAGGGACATCGCGACGACATTATCTTGTGTTTCAGAACGCGAAGAGGTAATAACCGTTCGCTTGGAATGCAGAAATGATGATGTATGTATGTATGTATGTATGTATGTATGTGTGTGTGTGTGTGGCGGAGAGGGGCGAGGGAGAAGTGAGGGAACTTATATACGCCTCTCCCGGGCATGTACCGTTTTTAAAAATTGACACTTTTACGCCGCGCACGGCGAAATCGATGGAGTGGTCGTGGAACTTCTTTGTCGCGCCCCAAAGTATAACGCTAACTTCCTTCAATATTAATAACCAAAAGTTGCGACATATCGCGGAACCATCCCCTCGAGCGGGAGAGTCGAGAAAAAAGGCGGATCGCGTATGTGTCGTTGAGAGACAACGGCGTCGGGCAACTTTATTATCTCTTCGTGTCTTATCGTTAAAGAGCGTGGAGTTTTTCCCGATTTGCGCACACAGTTGCGGAATCGCGCGGGAACATTTGCTTCTTTCCTCTCTCTCTCTCTCTCTCTCTCTTTTATCTCAACGGAGTGCGCTGATGCTATCGGCTGTGATTTATGTCTCGGGAGTAGAGACTAATTGGAAGTTTGGAAAATCAGCTCTCGACAAATGAGCGAGATCACTTTTGATTTATCATACGCAAACCGAGACTTATTAGCGCTCTCTGCTCGAAACAGCAGACCCGTTGACGCGCGGCGAGAGCACGAGGAAAATACGAGCCCACGTACGACGAAGAGTCGTAAACCGTCAACCGTAAAGCCGAGGCATTTTCGAACACGTCGCGCGCGCGCGCGCGCGAATCTCTTCGCGAGAAACTTTTTGTCCGCGCTTACGCCCGCGAGAGGCTTCACCGAAGGAAGCCGCCGCAGCCATCAGCCACGAATTAAGGCTGGATTTATGGATCCGGTGGATCCGATCGACTCATCAGAAACGACACGAGAACGCGTAAAAAAGAAGATAAACTCTCGAAAGATTGAATTTGAAATTATGAAATTTTCCAATTTCTTTCCTCTCTTTACCCTCCCCCCTCCCCACCCTTACCCCTGGTTCGTCTCCGTGACGTTGATCTCGCGAACCTCTCGGTCTCTCGATAGAGATTTACGGGGAGAAACTTTTTTCAATACTTCAGATTTCCTGTGAAGCGTCTACAAGCGTGCGTTTCATTCCAGATTCATTAGCGGTAATGGGGTACAGATATCAAATGATACCTAATTGGGTTAAGAGAAGCGATAGTGCTCGCTCGCTCGCGCACATTGCAATGTCGTTTGCAGAAGCACGAAAAAGGTTGACATCAAGTGGGATCTTACAAGCCGCTCTCTTGTTCAGCGTAATAACGAAATATAATAAATACCATGTTGTTACCAACTCTGGCAAGCGTCCAGGCTGTTGCCGACATGAACCGTCGTTGAAAGATATAAAAGGGATAAGCCCGGCAAGAGGGTAACTGAAAGCCTCGCCGATATAAAATTTCATGCCGTGTTCGGCCCAAGGGGGGAAGGGACGCGTAATAACAAATGTCATAATAGATTCTCCTACCGAGGCAGCAACGATGGTGACACACACTGAAATCGAGCGTGTAACATTGTTTTTAAGATAAGCGCGGGAACTTTGGGCGACTAATGACCCGCCAGAGATACCACTCCCGCCAAGTTTTAATGTTATTTTAAGTCTTTTCCCTACGGTGAAGTTGTGGGTGCTTTTATTTTAACAGCCGCCGGGGCTCTTTTCAGAGGTATTTTCTCGCTTCCGACCTAACAATATATAACAATATATAACTGAATCGACACTTTGAGCCGCGCATACGCGCGTACGTACATATGTATACGTATATATATATATATTCGAGTCCACACACACACACACATACACACACATGCACGCACGCACACACACACACACACATTAATCTCGCAAGTGGCATTTTTTGCCCGCCCATAACCAAAAGTGCCGCTGTCTCTAACGGGGTTTATTAATCCGATGAGCCACGAGTGTAGAAATACGCTCAGCTGAGTGTCGGTAGATTTATCACGCCGCTGCCGCCGCCGCCGCCGCCGCCGCCGCCGGACGGACGAAGACAAATGTCCCGTAACAATTAATGACTGTTACTCCTCCGCAATAACGAGAGCATGCGCGCGAAAAGAAATATTGTTGATTCGATCCGTTGTCCCAGGGCCACGATATATATCGCGCGCGCGCGCGATCATTAATAAAACGAGTTCAATTTAAATTGGACAGTGAAATTACTACGATATCGAGAAGTCTGTCCCTCGAAAGGTCTGTCGGATATGCGCGAGTTAACAGTGACGAGTTAATAATGGCCCCGGCATTAAATCTTTCAGAAATGTGGCTTTAATTGTGACGAATTCATTCATCTTTATTCAGGATACCTTTGTACGAATCACGCTGAATCCTCTTTTATTTTCATCGCGTTGAAGCGGCGCAATATGCATGTTGTGTGCCGAGCGCGGAAACAAATAACGAAGAATATTAGGTAACTGTAGTGCACGGTAGTAAACGCTGTAGAGGGAACTCCAAACAACACAAATGCTTGATACCCGCAGTTACACACGCTGCCATTAACAGTCTAATTCCTAATCTGTAATAACGCTGTTCTCTTCACAATGCGAAGAGTACAATTGTTTTGTACTGTCGCTCGCGCGAGAGCGAGAGCAAGCACACACGTACGCGCGCGCGCGCACGTTCTCGTTTAATTGGATTCGTAACAGGTCAAACGTGAGAACTTTAAATTGCGAGATTATCTTCGAAATCCGGTCGTTGACTTAAATCCTATAAAAAAAAAAAAAAAAAAAAAGAAAAAAAGGAAAGGAAGAAAAAAGGAGAAAGAGAGAAAGAGAATCCCCCTCATTTCCATTAGAATGCGAGTAATTCTTCCGGCGCTTGAATTGATTAACAGAGTCTGCTTAAAGTCGACCTTAAGTGATGCGTAAAGCCGATTAGAGCGCAGCATCAGAAACTTGTTAATCTCGTTTGAAAATTGTAGATAGTGGCGGGCGCAAAGCTGAATTATGATCCGTGAAGAAAAAAGAGAGAGGGAGAGAGGGAGGGAGAGAGAGAGGGAGAGAGAGAGAGAGAGAGAGAGAGAGAGAGAGTAGAGTTACAACGGCTATAACTACAATCCGCGCTCGTTTTACAGACTTCACAAGCGCAACCGTTCAAATTATTTCCTCGTTCTAGGGAAATTACTATCGTGCACTTTTTGCTCGGGTTCTTTGCATCTTCCTGCCGACGTTATCCGACGGCGACCGGCACGGCCCTTCCGGTAATTTGCTTTTTCCCCCCTCGGTTTGCTTGGCTCCTTTCTACACAGTACTGCCCGCTACTCTTCTTCTTTCTTGAAAATTTAATCGCGGAGCCGCGACGTCGCCTTTAATGCGATTCTTCGCCGCGTTCCTTCTTTTACCTCGCCCCCGTTTTACCGAAGTTTTATTTCATGCCGCCGACATCCGCCGACGCGAGACTTTCTAAAAGAACCATCACGCGCCCCCGTTGCGGTTAATAACGGCAACCTTTTTCAGAGGACACTCGCTCAGATCTTACGGTAGAAAAAACACTGGTGTTTCGGAATTATAGCGACGGTTAATATGGCCGGCGGCACTGAAAAGCCGGGAATAAATCGGTTTTCGATATTAACGAACGCCATTCCGAGGATTGGTTAGCGGAATTAAATACGTCCTCTGGTTTGGAGCGAAATCACGTTCTAAATTTTGCAACCGTAAGCCAAATCCGAGAACCAATTTCGACTCTTACATTCAATTTCGTCTTATTTCAACTCTCTACGTTCAAACACGTTAACGTTTCAAGGAGGCCCACGACGGCGAACCAAGCGTGTAACATGCCACCCTCCACTCAACCGACCGTGAAATTACGAGATATTGCGAGATTTTGAATTGTGATTGTTGCAAAGAAGAATCTCGTCCCGTCTCCCGCGACACATCGGCGAAAGTCGGTCCCATTGTTCTAACGATAAATTGTTACCTGGCATGGACAAATATTCGTCATTTAGATCCATTAAGATCCAGACATGGCGAGAGGGAGAGAGAGAGAGAGAGAGGGAGGAGGAGGAGGTAGAGGGAAAGAGAAATCAATTATCTTTTCGTGAGTAATTTCCACAGAGTGAGATCGAGCGAGCGAAAAAGGAAGAAAGTAGAAAATCCACGAGGGGATACATCGCAACGTGCAATCGCCGGCGCATAGAGTCGTTCGCGTTCCGTACTTGAATCCACGATCAATCGTAAAATCAACACCTCGAATTACCGTCCGCCCGTTTCGCGTCGAATCCAAACTGCCGCTCGGCCTGCGCCGTTAGAGAGTACATAGGGTCGTAATTGCGAGGGAAACTTCTCAAAAGATGCTTAAGTTCGGCGCGCAACTTTCTTAGGCTCGTTCCTCAAATTTACATTTTCCACGGTAGCGGCGGACTTTGCAGTCTCTGCGACGGCTCTTACCGATGCAGGTGCCACCCACGACCGAGTATAATTAAACTTGTCGCGCAGCCTTCGGAACATCGTATCTATTACTCGAGAACGGAGGAGCACTCGCCGAGTACTTCGCCGTGATCTACGTCGACACGTTCCATAAAATTTCATTACCCAACCCAACGTCGGCGTCGGCGGCGGCGGCGGCGGCGGCGGCGGCGGCGGCGGCGGCGGTGGTTATCGCGGTTCGTTAACATGCGACTACTTTCTGTTGAGCAGGAGCGAACGGATGCGCCGGACAGAATTGGCCCTGGAATGGTAATCGCGGCGCGGCGATAATAATGGCTACCCTGGCGGCCACCCTGTTCCTGATGATGACATCGCTGACGATGACGGTACCCCCGATAACGAATGTACTGGCGAGGAGTGAACCGGCGGTTAGCAGGTAGCTCGCGAGCATCCTCCATGAAGATATCGCTGCCACTGTCTGATCCGATTACATCGTCCATGTAAAACCTAGTAGTCTAGGGCTTCCAGTTATGTATGTTACTATGTATAGAATAGATAGTCGAATGACGAATGATTTTTATTCGAGGAGCCTACGAGAAAAGATCGGCGGGACACTAGCGGATCGACGCGGAGATTACGCGCGACTACTCGCGCCCTTTTACAAACGTTACTTTACAAACACATGTTGTCTTTTCATGTAAATTGTTGATCGAGATTAAACGGCAGAAGGAAACGGAGGGAGGGAGAGAGAGAGAGAGAGAGAGAGAGAGAGAAAGGGAAGGCGAGGAGGAAAACAGAGACAAAACAAAGAGCGATCGCCTCGCCCGCGTTTCGAGAAGATAAGATGGGAATGATGGATGCTTAACCCCGAAAAGCGAGCGCGTGGGCGACACGCGTGGGTGACATACGTCAACCTCTGCCTGTCCACCTGTCTTCTTCTTCTTCTTCTTCTTCTTCTTCTTCTTCTTCTTCTTCTTCTTCTTCTTCTTCTTCCTCTTCATCTTCGGCATCTCGCTGTGACGGTGAAATTCGTGATTTCGAAACGATCCTCTGCGAAGTAACGCCGCGAACTGTCACGCCATCGGCGGTGAACGCGACGCGAGAATAGAGCGCGCGCGCACGCGTGGAATTCCCGATGAGAAAAGGGAAGAAAAAAGTTTCGCCTCGACTACGAGACGGCGCACGCGGTACGCCCACGCGCTCGCTCGCGTTTTTTCTCGAGACCCGACGCGACGCGGGGAGAAGTTCGAGGCCCGAAGCGAGGAGGTGAGCGCGAAATTGTTACGAGCCGAGGGGTCAGCTTCGCAAACGACCGGGGGGTCGGAGGCTGGCAGATGTTTCGACAGCGAAGGATCGGAGAGGAAACGATCATGGGAGTCCGACGTTCCGTTACCACTTTCATTTGAATCCGCCGACGGCGCGGCACGCGTCGGAGATGCTATAAACGCGATACTTACTAGTGATCGGAGTGTTCATCGAGTGTCAAATATAGATTATACAGGGGTAATTATGATAACTGATATAATAACGTTAGCGCAGTGACGAGCGACGTTCTGCTCAATATTCGCTCCTTTTATGATGTCTAACAGAGAAACGCATCAAGATAGGTACCGAATTTGTAATCTGTACAAATTATAATAAACTATGATATACGGACTGTATAAACGCGGCTGCGTCTCTTTTCTTGTTTTCGCCTCGCTCATTTCCACCCCACCGCGCGTATGAAAAGCCTCCGATGAAACACCTCAACACACCTCCCGACCGCCGCAGACGGCTCACTCACGAATATCGCCAATCAACTTTTAATTGATCCAATTAATTAATCATTCCCATTTTGTATGAATTTCATACAACGCGACACGATGTGATTACCATGTGACATGACAGACTTCAAAGTGACAGATTACTCGAACAATCGACGCTCGTAATGCACACGGCGCATTCAAACACACTCAAAGAAAGACCAACGCGAACTTACTTCGTCGTCCTGGCAAGCTCGTCGGAGCTTTTTACGCACACACGCGTACTCGCACGTGTGTGTGCGTACTCGTCGCGTCGCTCTAAAACTACCTTGTTATGCTTTCTCAGATTTGCATAACCGGATCTTGCCGAAGGATGAGATTAATCCGAATTCCTCCGGTAAGTACATCTTTATATCTGTCTTTACCATTTCAGTCGGTTATCTTTCAGCACAGCATATCTCTGCGCGTGTATATATTCTGCTCGCATTCGAAGAACGCGGGCCAAACCGTACAGGATAATTTCAGAGTTGTGCAGAGACTTTTAAAACTGAGCTCTCTCTCTCTCTCTCTCTCTCTCTCTCTCTCTCTCTCTCTCTCCCTCCCTCTCTCTCTCTCTCCAATCCGGGAAAAGAAGATGCTTTCAACAAACTTTCATACCATCAAAGCGAGTTAACATTGCTCATCCACTTTGCGCGAATACGCCCGCGTATTAACACGAAGTACTTTTAACGTTCGCGCGCCGACTTCGGGATGAAAATAATTATCGTTCGGCCGCGTCGTACGTTTCTTACTTGCGGAAGCGCTCTCCTCCGCGCTCGAGTTACGCGTTCGCGGCGGCGTTTCGAGCCTTTACGACTGCCCAGGCCGATTCCACGAGGATTCTAATTGGACCAATCTCGGCTTGGATCGAAGTGCCCGACGGCACGGGTTAAGAGCGGTCCTACTCGCTCGTCGAGCGAAAGCGACTTCTTCGTTACGCGCTACGCTTCAAGTAGGCCGGGAATTGAGCAGTTCGGCGTATAACTCGGAATTTCTCAAACTAAAGACGAACAAGGAGCGACTCTCTCTTAACTTGTCTCGCTCGAAACTCGTAAACGCGACTGAAGAGACGAGAGCTTTCGTTACTTTAAATGTCACTGCTTTCACCGGATTTTAAATGTAACTCTACATCGGCACGTTCTTGTACCATCTTCCGAAAGCTTGCCTAGACTTTTCCGAAGAAGCCGGGGCGCGAGACGAGCGCATCGTATAGTTTGAAAAGCTACAAATCAAGTAAAATCTTGTGGAAAAGAAAAGGGAGAAAGGGGAAGGGCGAGCGAGCGGAGGAGAAGAGTGAGAGAATGAGAGCGAGCGAGAGCGAGCGAGAGAGAGCGAGAGAGAGAGAGAGAGAGAGAGAAAGAGAGAGAGAAAGAGAGAGAGAGAGAGAGAAGTCATGAAAGTAGTCGGATTAGCTGCTCCGAAGGGATTGGCAAATTGCGAGGACCAGCTTATAAGCGTTTCCACCGGTAAATTAGGTCGCTCGTAATTCCTCGCCTCTCCGCGAAGTGGTATATCGCTCGTATATGACGACGGTTTGGTAGCGCCGCAGCCAGCACGGAGCGGTAAGGAAGATGAAAACGTAATTGCGATCGCCGTGAAATCGACATTAATCAAACGCCCACGGAAACGTAGGAGAATGGGGATGGCTGGATAGGTAGGTAGGTGGCTGGGCAGCCATTTGGCTCACTTGGGTTGTCGTCGAAATTAAAACTCGGCTACATGCGGTACACGAGCCGCGCACGTGTCTGACGTGCCGCACGTGCGGCTCCTGCTACTCCTTAACGCCGCGCGACACATGGCTGGCCGAAGCGTTGATTCGAACTACTGACCCCGAGGCCCGGCGGCGCCCGCGCCCTACTGCGCTCGCTTTTTCCCCTTCGAGTTGCTGCCGCATTCTCCGCGCGGTATTATTACTTTTGCGAAAATAATTGCAACATCGGACAAGCGGCCGGGGGAAACCTTAGCCGCGTGTGCGGATATATTTTATACTGAGTTTGCAGAGGTATTTCGTAATTAACGCGCGATGTATAAAATGATACAAATAAAATATGTTCACGTGGTGAAACTTAGGAATCTTCTGTTCCAAAAAAAAAAAAAAAAGAAAAAAAGAAATTATTTCCCAACATATTTGATAACTGTTATCGAACAAGGCAAGTTATTGATCGACTGCAGAGTCCGCGCGAGATAACAACTTTAAATAAACAGCAGATGCGAATAATTAGCGATCTCGATATCTGAAATTTCTATAGTCAGACCTACGTGATACGCACACGTTTTTCTGTGCATGTGTGTGTGTGTGTGTTTGATGCCTGCAAAATATCGCGTACAAACTAATTAATCGGTTTCCATGTCGCGGCTGCAGTAACAGCGGTAATAGAATGCCTGAGAACTTCCCGAAGAATTACATTCCCGTGATATGATCGTTATGGTATTACCCTTCTCTTACGTATAATCTGCATTGATAAACTGAATGGAGAGTTTATTACACCTCCGGGCATTCTAGCCTGATAATTGAAGAATTAATACCTTTCCAAGGGTATTAAGGACAACCGCGAATACCTCGAAGCAGGTCTTATCGCAAAGCCCTGGACATCTTATCCGGTGAAAGTTTATACCAAACTAAAACTATCTATTACTCTTAGAGTTTGCTGAATCGTGTTCCGCGGAGAAGAAGAAGAAGAAGAAGAAGGAGAAGAAGAAGAAGAAGAAGAAGAAGAAGAAGAGAACGAAAAGGAAAGAGAAGGCAGAGAGGAAGACAAAGAGGAACAAGGAAAAGCTGCAGATTGCCATTCCGATGCTTAATCCACTCAGCCGCGCGATGCATCAAATTACTCTTAGAGGAATCCAGGGAGTCTTATTCTCCAAGAATATCTCATTCTTCGGTGATACGCTGTTACGTTTGCAATTTGCGGACATTAATATATTGCTGAAAACATTACGTCGTACTTTTCTCAAAAGAGAGGGAGAGGGAGAGAGAGAAAGAGAGAGGGAGAGAGAGGGAGAGAGAGAGAGAGAGAGAGAGAGACAGAGAGAGAATAGTACGATGTATCAACATCTACAAATAGCAAACGTAATAATTATATTTATATCGACGAGTAACGAGGCATTCTTGAAAGGTAAGATCGATTGCTTTCAATAATTGCAGTCCTCTTTTTGCAATTGCCACGTTACGCTTTACGCCAGGATGTTCATCAGCGACATTAATACCGCGAAATTAATACCGCGTATCACAATTGTTTATTATTATTCCGATTTATATTCAGACGTTCGTCGTTACTCTGTTTCGGCGAGCTCCGGATTTCTCCATGACTGAGCATCTCGCGGCAATGTGTACTTTCGCGACATTAATTTCTCGCGCTATATGTGCGCATCGCCACATTCGCCGATAAACGTGATCGTTTGAACACGTAAGCGCGCACACGCCGGTCATTGTGAAGTCTACCCACAACGGTGGTGGCAGTTTTAAACAAACGCTGACGTCAATTTAGCGCCCGTAATACTTCGTTCAAATACGCATGACAAAAATCGAAAAACAGTACGTCATCTCGTTAACGGTTTCTGCAATTCAAGCACGCTCCCGATAACTGGATGCATCAAAATCCGCAACCGGCGCGACCAGGTAGAGCCTCCATTCGTTACATTCGCGTTAGTTATCTCCAAGCGACCGGTTTTGTCCAATTAAAGTCTCGTAACGGGAACGACTACAAGAATACAAGTCGCCGGCATTTACGGCCGACGAAAAATACCGCGATGTTGAAATGTCGCGGAAAGAAAACCTGTCAACGCTCTAATTAAAATATAATTGCAGTCTCGACTCCCCCGCCGAGACGTGCTCTCGTCCCGACTCCGATGACAATAATGACGAGGACGACGACGACGACGACAACGCGAAAATGTTACCTCGCCCGATTTCCACATGTTCTCGTCTGCTCCTTCTCGCGCGACAGTCTCGTGTTTCATTTTGAACTGAAACTAAACTCTTAGCTCCATCAGGCCTTATCGATAACTCAACTTGAATTGCTACTTTAAATCCTCCTCTAGCGCGCGAGTCTTAAGTCAGACTTAGTTAACGTGAGTTTCTATTGGCGAAGTTTGGTCGAGTCAAAGAGATCTAGTCCGCGCTGAAACAAGGTATTATGCACTCGGGACCTCGATGCGGTGTACTGCGAAACAGAGAATGCTGAAAGAGGCGAGAGTCAACACGTCATTCTTGCGCGCGTAATTGCGCGTAAACGCGAAATGTACAAGACGGTGAAGAGACGGGAGCAGATTAATCGGCGCATTGAGAGGTATTCGACGGGGGATGGGAGGTAGAGGGGAGGGGGGCGAGGCGGAGTCGCAAAATCGAACATTGCATCCGCTATTTTCTATTCGTCGCGGGACACTACACTGCGCGATGTACTTGTTCGTTCGGCAAATAACATCGAATTTTCGTAAAAAGGAAAGAAAGGCTAACGTAGCGGAGATAGTATCCTCTCCGAACTGCAACATATAAAGGAACAAAGAGAAAGAATCACGACGGGGACGGCCGAAAGGAGGAACGGAAAAAAATAATACGAGAGAGGGGCGATAAGGGCGGCACGAACACGCAAGACTGCCGACTTGGCACGCTAGAAGTGAGAGGATATGGACCGTTTCCGTAAACCATCAAGATATTGCATTAACATGGTTATCGCCGACAGCAAAGGCAGAAAATTCCCTCCGGGATTCGTGCAGTTTCTCGACCGCAGGGAAACTTCGGCGAGGGAGGAAAAGAAGGAGCGCGAGACGGTGAGAAAAGTTGAAGAGTCAACGACTAATAAGTCGCCTCCGCCGAGGGGAGACTCACAACGAGTATCTGTTTTTTTCGCTCTACCTGCTGCATTTTCTCATCGCTCGGCGTATAAAAAAAAAAAAAAAAAAAAAAAAAAAAAAGAAAAAAAGAAATCTGAAAAATGTTAACCGGCTCGTTCGGAGGA